GTTGCGTCTATATGACCAATGATCGTGAAATGGCTTCGTTAAATAGATTTTATGCTCTTATTGTGTCAAGGATATTTGTAGGTACACATAGCTACTATGTGCTCCAGTCGCAACTTGACGATTAACTAAATATACTGCATGTATAATAACAATACGTTATCGTCTCCCTACTGGGATAAGGGGCTTACCCATGAAGCAAGAACATTAGATTGTGTCAGCACGCTAGCCGAGTCACTTTATTTTCCGGTTGCCCTTCGCTTACACTGGTGCATTGTGCTGTGTTCCCCCAGTCACCTTTTACGACGCAGCATCCTGACGATGAGGAAAAGATGACGCTGACACAATTTATCATTATTTTCTTACTACAAAGATGAATTTTTGTAATGTGTCATTGGTCTGCTTGTTACGTCGTTCAGTTTTCTACAGCTCACAGTATCCTAGGGGAGTAGACACTTGGTATAGTTGCGTAGCGTTTGTTTAAATAATTAATAGAAAAACTTGACTGTGGCAGTAAAACAGAAATAGGTATTAATTTAACGCACTAATTAGATACCCGAGCCGAAAATAGTCGCGACCTTAAACTTGTATGATCGATACTTGGTGGCAGCCGACAGGTCGAGGCACGTGGACGTGGACGCTGCTATCGATCTGTCTCTGACCAGTGTTTTGTAATCACCGCGCTGTACTCCTTGTCGCTTGCGAGTGCATATGTACCGCAGCACCTGCGGACCCGACGAAGCAAGCAACCTGTAACTACGAGGGTCATTTGAAAAGTTCTTAGCCTAAGATGGTTAAAGTCATTGGTTTTTTTATAACTACCCTCATTTTGTAGTTACATTATTTAGCAACAAGTATGCAAGAAATCAAAGAAAAACGTCCAGGTTTATTGAGAAGAAAAGTCTTGTTTTATCAGGACAATGCGCGCGTTCACACCTCTGTGCAATCCATGGCAGAAATCCATCAATGTGGCTTCGAATTGTTACCTTATCACCCATATTTACCGGAGTTAGCACCGTCCGACTTTTATCTGTTCTCAAAGCTGAAAAAATTTTTAGGTGGTAAACATTTTTTTACAAATGAAGAGGTCATATCCGCCGTGGACGCTTATTTTGAGGAGTTAAACGAAGATTTTTTTAAAACGGGTATCGAAGCCTTACCGGGTAGATGGAAAAAGTGTTTTGAGCTCGGAAGAGAGTATGTTGAAAAATAAAAATAAACTCAAAATCGTGTGGTTTCATTAAGTATGTTAGGCTAAAAACTTTTCAAATGACCCTCTTAGATGGTAGGGGCAAGCGAGCCGCTACTAATACTTATCCCTAGATGATCAATCGTTATCTGTCCACTGCTGAACATAGCCTCCCCCATAACGGGGGTTTTTGCCAGTAGTTACACATTAAATGTTATATATTAAATTAACCCTGTTCACCGCACCATAACTAATAAATTTCCTGCTTTGATTTCCACGAAACAGGCTTTACTTAGTGTGGGGTCATAGCTATATTATACCATAGGCTAATTTTGTTTAAGGAAATAAAGTTATTCTAATGTTGCCACGCTTGGCACATGAATTGGCAACCGCAGTTTGGCTTTTGGTGATGTTTTAAGAGAGACGCTGCTGCCCATCCCTTGGTCTCCCTAAGTCCATAGTGGCCCATGGTGGAGGTATGCCTCCACCATAATTTCCCTTAATCGCCTCTTACGACACCCATGGGAAAGGAAGATGTGGCCTATTCTATGCCGGGGCCTATAGGGCTAAGTACAACACACAAAATTTAAACTTGCTAAAATGTAAAAAGCAGTTTATTTCCCGAGTACTGTGTTGCTGGTGAAGAACTCCTTTAAATTTTTAAACGATCAAAAACAGGAGAAAATTAGCCTCCTTATTTTTTTGTATATGAATATTTCACATATTCACATGTTGTCATATTTAGATTTTTTGCATTCGATATATTTATTTGATATATTTAGATTCCTATTAATGTTAAAGTTAAAATAAAAATGGATCTGAATGAAATTCGGTACGCGGGTAGGTTATATCCTAATAATTTATAGTTGGTACAAATTAATATTGTTAAAATTTTGTGGGCCCTGGTTGCTTTTATTAAAGAATTATTATTATTATATATATATATATATTCAGTGCACTGTTAATACTCTGTCATACTAGAAATAGGTATACCGTGTTGGTACGCCAGCGTCAACAATTCCTGATTTCCTCGTGCGACCACGTAGGAAGTTTGTTTTATCTGTTCTGATTGTTGTAACCTAAGATAGAGCACACTCTCACACCCATGGCTGTATACATTTATGCTCTGTGTCTTTATACATTGTATTAAAAAGTGTAACATTTTTTTTCGCTCTATTCCCTCCAAATTGTTTAAAGAAATAGTTATTTGCTGAAAGCTTTCCTGTATTGTAATATTACATCACTTATAAATGTTTCTCTCTGCGCAGATATCTTCACGTGGATATTTGACGATTTCGCATAATTCCTACTCAACAAGTTAATGATACTAATTACTGATAAAATGTATTTAATATCGCTTACGTGCTAATCAAATGCATATTACACAGATAGCTACAGTACCGTCCCATACCTATTAAATCAGTGCCCCATCTAATAATTTTGCTGTTTCAGCCAAAAATGATATGTACAGTTCCCGTCTTTTTTAAGGGCGTTTAATTTTTTTCACTCTATATATGAATCTTATGACTTGGCAGATTGTATTCGATCTATGATGTTTGAAGTCAAATCTCTATAGGGTATATTAGGCGACGCGAAGGAAGGACAGAGCTATATGCTTTTTACCTTAAAAAATTATGAGAAGTAATTTTGCAGTGGTCGCTAGGCTAAGAAAATATATTTTATAGAAGTTAGCGTTTTGTTCTTTATGTGTGTGCGCAGTCTGTTTCGGTCAACTTGGAAGTGTGTATAGAATGTGGCCAATTGTCAGGTGTTAAGAGATAGTGCATAGCCACGTGCTGTCTACTGTCGAACATGTACGTACCGTGACCGTGTGCAGAGCAGGGCACACACTGCAGTTATGTAACGAGTGCTTGTTAACAGCTTGGGGTTAAATAACATGGAGAGCTGTGTAGACGCGAGGCCCGATAAGAGCCATTTACAACTATGTAAACAGGCGTGCGAGATAATAGATACGCGCAGCCTGTCTGACCCACATACATTGCAGCACATACAATAATTATTTGTACATTAATAAAATGCTAGCGCGCACGCAAATATCATATGGACGCGTCACGAGCTCGTAAAAACGTTACCGATAAACACAAGGTCTGTTTAAATTATCATTAACTAAGTGCATTAAATAAATAACGTATTCCATTTTTTCACGAAGGAAGTGATCACTTCTACTATGCAAATCGTACTTGTACCGTTTTTTATTTACTAATTTATTTCAATTTTAACGAAATTATTTTAGCTGCCATCGTTACATTTTGAGTATTTAAATATATATTTAGTTAAAAAGATTAGCTTATTAATAAATCGCAAAGATATCGGATAATGGCTTCATAAAAATAATATACAATCAAATCGAGGTGTCTTTTGAAGTACAATAAAAAGATGGCGGAAACTGATTGTCGTTTATCGAATGACGCACGGAAGCTGTGGTCATAATTATATACAAACTATATTACCTAGTTTAGATAGTTCTAGAAAATATTATTACCAGCCGACATGTTAGACTTTGTACAAAAATTATCTGAATGTTTATATCTGCCTTGTATTTCTGCAGCCAAACGCTGTATTTGCATGGCTGTGATTCACTTTGAAAGCTGGGATAATTGTGAGATTAGAGGGCACGAGGGCATAACTTATTAGACATCAGGAATGGCATTGCTTGAGTGGTAGCATGGTCATCACAGTGTATTATGTGATGTGTGTGTGTGTTTCTCATCACAAATATACATGTGAAATGAGAGCCAAATTCAATATTACGAATATGCGTTGTATATGAGTGTCAAGTTCTGTGTAGAAAATCTTACAATTTACAAGTTACAAAAACATGCAACATTATAAAATAAATTTATATAAAAAAAAATTTGTTTTTCGGTACTACTACCATGTTTGCTGTTTAATAGGTATTATACAATAAATTCTTAAATTTTAACAGACAATTATTTACACAATGCGTTTATTTCACTTGGGATGTAATCCAAGCTCAAGATTTGGCTTGGCTAGTTTTTACCAACAAATCAAATGTTAGAAAAGCAACAGAAGTATGTAATATATCAACCCAACAGTATGAGTACGGTACAGACAGGACGTACGCTAACTTACTTGTATGACTTAATGGAGATAATTTGCTCGTTTGCCTCCTGTATTATAAAAAAAAGTTGATTAGACATATATAATGAAGCCTGTATATAAAAATTGTCAATGATCGCAGTATCGATCCTGTAAAATGTCGTTATTTTTTTTTACAAAAATTATTATCCATTAACACAATGCCGTGTAAGAAACAAAATATTATATTTATAATCACTTACTTTCATACCTAACTTCGTTATTTCTTTATTGATACTTATTCTCAATAATTTTCAGTTTTCAGTATTTTCTCTTTGTATAATAGATTACCTTGATGTCAAATATCAAGTTTCTAGGTCATCTGTAAATGGGTTAAATTTTTTAAGTGTTAGTCATAAAAATGACGGAGTTTATATAATATCAACATCAACGACGAATTGACCAACTTTTATGATATTATGTATTGTAGACAAGCTGAGGACCTTTAATAATTATGTCAAATTTCATGTATGTAGGTTTGGAGTTGTGACGAGTTTAAAAGAAAATCAAAATGATTCGTGTAATATTACACTCGACTGCTGCATTGCTAAATCCTTTTTTTTTAACTTGGCTGGACATACTGCCGCATGTCTAGATAGGCGACGATCAGCATTTCCATCGGCTAGGTCGTTGTACAGTCGGCTTATTTGCCAATTCGCGTGGTGACGAGTGGTGTGGTGCGGTGTGATTGCAGTGGTGAAGCAGCGGCTGCAGATGCTGAACTCGCCGTACCGCGGCGTGTGGGAGTGCGCGCGCCACGTGTACCGCGCCGAGGGGCTGCGCGCCTTCTACCGCTCGTACGGCACGCAGGTCGCCATGAACGTTCCCTACACGGTACGTCTAGCGCGGCCTTACTGCCACCTTAGGTAACGCGTCCGTTGATTACGGGAACTTGAAATGGGGGGTAGACGAGGAGGAATTAGCAAATTATAATAAAAGTACGAACTATTAACTATTTAAATTTATCATGAGTAAATCTTGCTCGACGGGGGTGGACGAGGGTATAAAAAATATCTATATAGACGGCTAAATGTGAACCAATAAAATGGAATCGAAATTGATACGATGCCCTGCTGTTTTTTGAATAATGTGTCGTGTTGTGTCGTGTTGTGTTGTGACGGAGGATGGCAATGCGCGCAGGCGCTGCACTTCGTGACGTACGAGTGGTGCCAGGCGGCGCTGAACCCGGCGCGCGCGTACGACCCGCGCGCGCACGCGGCGGCGGGCGCGGCGGCGGGCGCGCTGGCGGCGGCGGCCACCACGCCGCTGGACGTGTGCAAGACCGTGCTCAACACGCAGGAGGCGGCCGCGCGCGCCGACGGGCTGCTGGAGGCGGCCGGCCACGTGCTGCGCGCCAACGGCCCGCTCGGCTTCTTCAAGGGCGTGCAGGCGCGCGTGCTCTACCAGATGCCCGCCGCCGCCATCTGCTGGCTCACCTACGAGACCTTCAAGCACGCGCTCGCCGGCAACGCCGTACGTACACCGCCAAACCTAATCTCTTTCATACTAGTTAGTTTAATCATTTCCAGAGACTTTATATTGATTTTTTTGTGACATAAAGTAGAGCAAAGTCGCGAGAAATAACGTGCCAGTTCGACTAACTATTTAGATGTGCTTTTTTTACTTTACGATGTTGATGTACCGAGCTCAGATTCTCACTAGTCTGGCCAAAAATACTGTTACATAAAAACTATTCTTTCTTTTTCAATTTTTTTAATAATTTAAATTTAGAACACGTTTATTATTTTAAGAATTTCTTTCAATTTCTCGCCACTTCACATATTTTTTCGAGTTCATTATCAAATTGCAATATGGAATAGGGTGTTAAAGAAAATACGAGTAGGACTGCAGTGATCGCTTCGCACAAGTGAGTATGGAGCCGTCGGTCATATTCCAGACACTTCAAAAGCTTGGTATCAGCCGTATGTTCGTATATCGTACTATCAACAGATACAACAACACTTACTCTGTCGAAGACCAGGAGATCGGGGCCACCGCGTGCTGTTAGAACTACAAATGCTGTTAATGCTATTCAAGCCAGAATTCGTCGAAACCCCATTAGGAAGCAAAAAATCTAATCGCGAGAAATGAAGATTCCCACTAGGACTCTGTCGCATATTAAAAAACAAGACCTGAAGCTCGATTTTTATTGTCGATATACAGGACATGCCCTAAATCAATCTTTACAATTAAAGAGAGTGGATCCATCAAAACGCCTTCTGTCGCGATACGCAGATGAAAGGAACAGAAATATTCTCTTTACCGATGAAAGTTTTCACGATTGAAGAATACTACAATAAACAAAATGATAAAGTGTACGCTCACAGTTCTAAAGAAGCTGCTCAAGTGGTCGGAAAGGTACAACGTGGTCATCATCCTGAGTCGGTGATGATTTGGTGGGGCGTGTCTTATCAAGGAGTCACAAAACTACATTTTTGTGAAAAAGGAGTGAAAACTTCAGCCAAAGTAAATCAAGATACAGTCTTGGATCGTATTGTGAAACCTCTCAGCAATACACATTTTGAAAATATACAGTGGACCTTCTGGCAGGACTCTGCACCTGGTCACAAAGCACGAACTACCCAAGCCTGGCTTGAAATCAACGTTCCGGACTTTATAAGAGCTGAAGACTAGTTCTCATTTGACCTGCTCTAAACGACAAAGCGACATTGTGTGTCTTAAAAAACCTTTAGAGTAAGCAGTGGCGAAATTTCCCTTAGAAGCAATGCATAAATCCATAGATTCGTGGCCAGACAGATTAGAAATCTGTATAAAAGCCAAAGGTGGCCATTTCGAATAGAAAATTTTTTATTTGTTGCTGAGACTTTAATAAACATATAGGTATACATTTTAGTATTACATTACTACATACGAGGTTTGTCCGGAAAGTACGTATAAAAGTTTTTTAAAAATTTTATTTTACAATTATTCAGGTAAATCAATTTTATCCCCTTCAAAGTACTCCCCCTGTGACATAATGCACTTGTGCCAACGCCGTTTCCACTGTGAGAAGGCTCCTTGAAAGTCCTCTGGTTGTAGGTTTCTCAGCTGCCCCGTCGTAGCTTTTTTTTATCTCATTTATGTCCCCCAAATGCCGCCCCCGAAGTACCAATTTGGTTTTTGGGAACAAGAAGAAGTCACACGGGGCCAAATCCGGCGAATAGGGGGTGTTCGGTCACCGTAATGGAATTTTTACTCAAAAACTCACGGACAACAAGAGAGGTGTGGGCAGGGGCATTGTCGTGGTGAAGAATCCAACGCCCCTCTCGCGCCAATTCTGGACGAACTCGTGCCACACGAGCTTTGAGGCGTCTGAGCACATCGACGTAGAATTTTCCATCAACTGTCTGGCCTGGAGGGACGAATTCTTGATGGACAATCCCCCGAACATCGAAAAAAACAATCAACATTGTCTTGACATTTGAGCGGGATTTTCTTGATTTTTTTGTTCGTGGTTCCCCGGATGTCTTCCACTCTTTGCTTTCACGGCCATTCTTGCCGAGTTTCGAGAGAAACTTGATTACGACGCGCTGCTCTTCAACGGAAGCGGGCTCCATGCCGACGGGGTTTCGTTAAGAGGTAACTTCACAGATGGCGTGACAAGCCAGTTCGCACCGCACGGCGGTCAGACCAGAACTGAAGCATTGTTAGGGACATAAGGAAGGGGTCCTGCGCTTACCTGGCCTCCCCACTCCTCTTTCTCGCATTCCAGAACACTTTTATACGAACTTTCCGGACAGACCTCGTAAGGAAAAAAAATGCATTTTCATTTGTAACAGAATTTATGGCTGGACTAGGTATATGCGCCTGAAGCGTCCCTTCTGTAGAAACATTTTAGATCGACTTCGAACGTCATTGAACAGGAAGAGTATATGATTCGGTTTAGTGCGCTCAATTTTTAATGTCATTTTGAAGTCTCCGTGCAAAAAATATACAGACGTAACAGTTTTTAAGGCACATTCTAGAGGAGGTACATACTCGATTCATCGGATTTGTCTTTACGACTGTTACGTAATCACGTAGTAGGTCACCACTTCTGAACCGATTTTAACAATTAATTTTGCACAACAGGTTTGCGGCCGTGTTGATATCACGCTTTAAATTAAAATATTTACAAAGTAGTGTGTCTACGAAACATAGATATGCATCGTCGTCTGACGGTGCGTTCATGAAGTCGCAGTATGTACTTTTGCCCACGCTTGTGTCGATTTCAGTACGTTATGCTACGTAACAAAAAATATACTTAACCGTTTTTTTTACTACTTTCATTGGTATATTTTATAGTATTTAGATACCGTTGTGCGAAACATTTCTACAAGAAATTAATTTTTTTCAAAATTTGGTGTAGTGAAAAATTTTTACTCAAAATAATTACCCAATCTGATACTGCTGCATTTATATTAATAATTATGCTATTCCATCGATAGCTGGACTCGCACGGCGAGGACGGCGCGGGCGGCGCGGGCGGCGCGGGCGTGGCGGGCGGCGTGGCGCCGCCGCTGGCGTGCGCGGCGCTGCGGCTGGCCGCCGCCGCCGGCGACGTGCCGCCCGCCGCCGCCGCCGCCGCCGCCGCCGCCTCCACGCTCACGCGCTCCTAGGCCGCTACCACGCACGTCGAACTAAATCGTCGAGTATTATCTTGCAAATGGTGTCATCGTCCGCGCCGCGGAGCCGGGGCCGTGTGCCGCCGCCGCCCCGGTCTATGTTCGTGAACAGTGTTGTTACATAAATTTATAATTTACATATTGTTTTAATAAAATTGTATTTTTATGTTTTAATATATTACGTTGCGTACCTACATTTTATAATTGTAGTTTAGACGGTTCTACAGCTCGAGTCGAGTGATGTTTTTGCACCACGTGTCGAGTCGAACGCGCCGGCTCGCTTCTAAAAATAGAAACGATAGTATTCACTTGGTAATCGAAGGTGTCGTTCGGCCACGACCAAGTTACCGATGCAATTCCAGGATTTTGGAACTAGCGGTGGACTAAATTGACCGTGATCGTGCGTGGCGCCGGTCGCCGGTCGCCGGTCGCCGCGCCGCGCCGCGCCGACTGCGGCCCGATGCGGCCGGACGTCGTTGTCAAAATACTTTCACTTTATCGATATGCGAATGCGTGGCATTTCACCTTGTTACATTTCTGTCGCTTGCGCTCAGCCGCGTTGAAATTACGAGGGAGAGCTAGTAGGTCGGTGGAGTTCTCCTACAGAGATTTGGGATATCATCAACGGAAGGTCCCCCCCCCCCCCCACTGCAGCCCGCGCTGTGCGTTCTCGGTCACTCGCAGTCCACACGACAGACATCTATTTTTATACAGGGTGTGAGAGATTATAGTCAGTAGTCAATAGGCGTAATACCTATACTATTGTGAACGTCGGATTACAAAGTGAAATTATTCTGACATTGTGATTTATATTTTTATGTTTTAATTGTTACATTAGATTGCGGTATAAAGTAAGACTAAATTTACAATTAAATCTCGATATGAACGGGATAAAAAACACGTTGGCGGTGCTATGTATGTGTGTGCGTGTGTGAGTGACAGAGAGAGTGTATGCGAGCGTGTTAGTGTGCGTGTGTATGTACGTGCGCGTGCGCGTGTGTGGAGACGCATGCGGAAGCGCAGCTCCCGGAGCACCAAAATATTTTGTTTGTGTACATTATTGATTCATTGTATTTGTTATATTTATGAGTTGTATAGATTGAGAGTTATGCTCTGTTTAAATTAAGAGTATAAAGTTATTTGTATAGTGAAACGGTCCGCCTGGCCGCGCCAGGCGCACCAGTGCAAATAAAATCCGAAAACATGTGTATAAATAGTAATAAAATTGTTGGACAATATCGGTGTGTTTCATTTGTAAGTGCAGCAGTATTATACGGTGTTCAGACTTTGATCTCCAATATTTTTATTTGCTTATTAGAGAACCAAGTATATTTTGTTCTGCGAATAAAAAAGCCCTTCTAAAGACAGACTATTTAAAAAGATATAACCAAAGTTATTCGCGCCATGACAGACGTGTAATAATTAAAGATCGTGTTCCACAAAATTACTTCAACCGTTGCAGAGCCAGTCATTTGTATTTGAATACTAAACTAGTGAAGCGATTCAGGTACAATTTCAGTAGAACTAATCTGTAAATATCCTTTCAGATAGAAAAAAGGATTTTCAAAATCGATTTAGTACTGACGGAGTTACGAGGTTATAAACATAAAAAAAAAATATAATGTAGTTACAATATAGTTATTAATACAGATCTAAGTATAAAAGCACCAGTGCAATGAGTAGATTACTCTTAGTAGAAAGTAGGTTGGAAAGGTGCTTATGGTTTTTTTAAATAATTTTTTAGAGTGTACACCTTGAGAGAATAAACAGGTAACAGGCAAGACAGTAATAAGAAGATAGAATAAGTAAGTAGCAGTGACAATCAATGACAATTCGAGTATAAGTTGGCCAATTGACAGTGACCTGGCAACTCATTATTATATTTAAAAGGGGCATTCAATTAACTACCTGCATATCATTTTATCTCGGAGGGAGGGACTGTCAGTGATGGGGACCAGTGCCTCTTCTAAATTTTCAATAAATTTTATTCCTTTTATTTAAAAAATGACGGACTCCCTGTTCGGTCTTATTATATCAGAGCGCAATAAATAAACTATTTGATTGTAAACTGTGTTAAATTTTATATACATACAGATACACTGAAACGCAATTATAACTTGTTTAAAACCGGAGTTGAATTGAATACACGTACGTGATATGACATTGAAAAGAAAATTAGCAGCGGAACGAAGTGTTGCTAGTACAATAAAAAACTACAGAAGGGATGTGCTGATTATTTCCAACACTTCCCATACTACTATCCACCCATATTACATGCTGTAGAGGACAGATTTTCAAGAACGCTGTAATATATATTTGTTTCTAACTAGAAATTTGTATATGAAATTTCAGCCGTTTTCTTTAATAAATGATATATGATGATTTAATGATTGATAAATACCCTAAGCATTTCCATACACCTGATTATTCCTTACTTCACCCTTTAGGGATGGAATTTCCAGAAACACATCATTAGTGCATGTTGACATCATCAAATGCAAGAACTGCCAAAATTTCAAGTTTTAACTCCTGTGGTATCGGTTGTGTGTTCATGAATCGGTCAGGACAAATAATTTTATATATACAATTTCTTGCTCGCAACAAACACATGAACGAATGTTTTTTTTTTATTTTTTTTATTTATTTATTTAACTTTGATATTTTTTGTTAATAGGTATACTAACGTTTCCTTAATACCTTAAATTAGAATTGAAAATTGTGAATGCAGCAATGCTGCCAAAATGTACTATTTTTGCCTTCAGACTTCACCTACGTTTAGAGGGCTGTCACAGATTACTATATAACATGACAGCTGGGGCATACCATATAAGGTCTTAGACAGACGGACGGGACGGAGGCTTAAGCTCAACAGTGGACAAATAGTAAGTAATAATAACATCACTCTGTGTCCTATATCAGTATTAGTCGTGTACCAACGCAAGTTGTTAAAATAAAACAAAAGAATTTGAAACAAAGTTCAATTTATTTTCCTTCCCGAAATTATTTATTTCCCAATAGTTATCGATAAACTTTTTGTAAACAACAAATGTGGAATTACAGTCAGATTAACAATAATGCTTAGAGAGAATTAATAAAAGATGTATAACGGCCTGCACGGACGAGAGACATGCACGTGGAGGAGAATGTTCCTCGCTTTACTCGCCGAGGACTTGCCACGGACCGAACCAGGCGTCGTGCAATGCCATTTCAAATGATAAAATACGCCAAGAATTATCGTCTCGTCTGCGCTGGTTTTAGCAAAATATTTAGTACTTTTAATAACATTTAAACAATATTTTTTTATACATCTAATAGAAAAATAGCACATATAGAAATTAAAAATTGATAAAATAATGTGTTTTTAGGAATGACCATTTTGTGATTAGATTTACTTATTACATTAATTATATACACACGTTTTGTAAAAAAATATATAAAAATATCGTACAATACGATTAATCATCGTGTATAATTTATTATGACAGACGTGTACTTCGCGTTTTATTAAGTATAATTGCGACTTTCGTACGCTTCGAGGTATGTAAAAATTTATGCACGGGACAACACCTTTAACTTCACGATTTCGTCACATCGTGCTCGGGGCATGTTGGAATCCCGGACGGAAGCTCGGTCAGCAGCTGCGCACGAGGCCGTAGAGCGCGGCGAGCGCCAGCAGCGGCGCGGCCGTGGGCGGCGCGGGCAGCATGCCGGCGCTCGCCGCCACGTCCAGGTGCGTGTAGGGCACGTCGCCGCCGTCGAGCCCCGCCGCCAGCAGCAGGAAGGCGGCGGGCGCCTGGTGGCCGCGCGGCGTGGCCACGGACGGCCGGTTGTCGGCCTGGTGCAGCTGGTCGCCGGCGGCGCGGCCGCGGTGCGCGGCCAGGTCCTCGCGGCGCAGCGTGGACACCTCGACCGCGTCGCCCAGCGACTCGGCGGCGGCGCGTAGCCTGGCGGCGTGCTGGCGCGCGGCGGCCGCGTGGTTGTCGAGCGCGGCCGTGTAGCCGTCGCCGTAGGCGCGGTGCGCGTGGCCGGTGAGCGTGGCCACGGTGTACACGTGCGGCGCACGCTCGGCGGCGGCGCGCTCGCGCATCTCCGCCAGCAGGTCGGCCATGGCCAGGCGGCCCTCGGCGTCCGTGTTGCCCACGCGCACCGCCAGCCCCGAGCGGCTGCGGAGCAGCTCGTCCGCCACGTACGCCTCCTCGCCGACCGAGTTGCGGACCATCGCGAGCGCCGCCACCACCTTGATCGGTGGCCGCAGCAGGTCGCACGCCTGCGGCCAGAGTCGCGCGTCAGTCTCGAGTCGGGGCTGGGCGGTCCACATTCTCCGTTATCCCGGAGGAGGTGGTCGCGAGGCGCGATCACAGTGCGCAAGGAACAGAAACGAGAAGTCTCGCGCTATGTACTTGTAAACGGTACTAGAAATTGCTATCATATTATAGTGAACAGCGGCGGCGCACCGATGTCACGAATCATTTAATTATTATCTAAATATTATACTATTTACCGAAATCCAAAATGAATCGCGTCGTAGAGAACAAAATTTTTACCGGCAGGATCGGCCCGGCACCAACGCGCGACGTCGTTATCTCGCCGTTGACGGAGACCGTCGCCCGCTCAAAATCGCCCGAAACGTACCTTGAGGAAACCGGCGACGGCGGCGGCGCCTCCCTTGTCCCCCGACATGCCGGCCATCGCGCCGCCAGTCTTGATGTCGGCGCCACCCGTGTCGTACGTCACGCCCTGAATGCACACGACGGGGTCTCAGTCGGTTACTTCATGTTTTACTTTCAATGAATCCTCACTTCCGGAAGTAAACATACCTTGCCGACCAGCATCACCGTGTTCTCGTAATTTTTCGGCTCATATTCCAAAAATATAATGCAACCTGCAACATATGTACCGCTTTAGCGGAATAGAACAGGCCCATCTCTAAACGTTTTCGAGCACACACTAACAAAAACAACAGACCTCGGTGTCGCTCGACGGAGTCCGCGGCGCGGCTGACGGCGGCGAACAGCGGGTAGTCGCGGCGCAGCGCGGCGGTGTCGTCGAGCACGCGCAGGCGCACGGCGCCGCCGGCCAGCCGCTCGCGCAGCAGGCGCGCCGCCGCCGCCGGCGTCATGCGCTCCGGGTCCGCGCCGCCCACGTCGCGCGCCACGCCCCTGCGCAGCGCCTCGCGTTACACTAGCTGTCGCACTCGCACTAGCTGTCGCACTCGCACTCGCACGCCGCACCCACCTGGCCACCTCGAGCGCGACGGCCTCCGCGACGAGCGGCCGCAGCGGCACGCGCTTGTCCTCGCCGTACACGCCGAATCGCTTCAGCTTCACGGCCCGCTCCGGGAACGACTCGCGGATCTGCAACGGCTGGTGGAGAGGGCGCGCGAGGTTAGCGGCGAGGAAAGATTTTCTAAGCACGTGAATTTATCGAGGCAGGGCGCTCACCACGTAGAGCGCCTCGAGCGCGCCGAGCAGCGCGACGAGCGGCGCGCGCGGCCAGCGCGGGTGCGGCGCCAGCGCCAGCGCCGGCCGCCGCGCGCCCGCCGCCGCCGCGCGCCGCACGCCGCCGCGCGCCGCCTCGTACACCGACCTGCGGCCGACCAGCCATGTTTCAAGCGGTGGGTTCCGACCGCGACCTACGTGCACCATGTTATTCTCGTGGAACTCGTCACGATGGGCTGATTGATCTACTTTCATCCTCATCTGTCATCTCTCACTGGTGTTCCACCAGTTTATATCTGAAATTTCCACCAGTTTATATCTAAAAACCTGACGCACAGTATACGATCGACAATTTCGTTTACGACCTGTAGAAATTGGTGGCGCAGTGGAGAGTTGAAACGACTTGACTTTGAAAGGCGAGGTTACCGTTGCATTCTCATTCATTAAGAAAAAATGTATGTCCGAGAAAAGAGAAAAAATAATATACCGACGGGGTTTCCTCGTCTTCAAAGTCTCTGTGCTAGTAGCCGAAATAAGATTGTTTTCTTTTTTTTTTTTCCATGCTGTATACTTATGTCTTAGCGGAGTTAAACTGGACTAAGTTTCGCCATCCTCAATCAGAGACCCTAGCTTGCGTTCTCTTGATTTCAGATACAAGTTGTTCACAATTATCCTCCACGATGGAATGAGGGACATTGGAATGATGTCCCCAGTGATAATGAATATCCCCAGTGCTGTTATTTGCATAACAATGAATGTCATCCAATATTAACATCATTAATATGCAGCAGAAACAGCGTCGAGGATAGCGCAGAGCCCTGCGGGACGCTAGCATTAATATCCATGCTATCGAAGCAGCAACTATTTACATCGGTTTTTATACGTCTACCGAACAAACAGATGCAATCCATTTATACAGACTCTTGGAAAGTCCATAGTTGGGCAATTTGCCGGCATTAAGATGCCAGATCCGGTCAAATACCTTTGCAACGCCAAGACCGATAGCAAGTGCCTTACTTTAACTCTCAATGGCTAAAGCATCGGTTCGTGAGATATACCAAGAAATCACCAGTTTGAGCAACTGTGGCGAAAACCGTGTTGGTGGTCATTCAACAAATCGCGATCCTCAAAGTATCAGGGTAACTGTGCATCGCAATAGGCCTGTAAATTAAAGGGATATAGTTCCGGAGTACACTGCTTTAGGACCACTGCCGGAATGAAGTCTAGCCCACTCGACTTATGAACTTCTAAAGAGAGTAACCCCCGTCGGATATTACGCTGTGTTATGGTAATTTCCGGCAAAGAGCGATACGATGATTCGGGTGAAATAATTTACTATTTTTTTTTTAAATCCACGTTTCGGAAATTTTACACTTACCGGACGTCGTCGTAGGCGGTAAGCGGACCGGTGGGCGCCAACACGAGGCGACCGCCGGCCACGGCCGGGCACTGCAGCAGCGCCGGCGTCGAACCCTGCGACACACCGCACCGCGCCATGCTTCTGGTCAGTTTACAAGTACAGCCCCAATATCAATAAAATCGATAGTTTAATATGCACTCAGCCATTGCAGAATATATAGTAGTCAGCCTATTACTATTTATTACCTATACCCAATGAGCTATCACTCGATATACAAACTAAACCACATGTGAAAAAAAATTAAAAGTATCGCACACCTCTGATTTTCAGATGTAGTAAACTAGTAACAAATCGATTCAGTGCACTGAAAACCTAAGTACATCTTTCGAAGTTTCTTCGAATGACAAGTTCCTTCATATAATAGGATAAACCTACTAGCTACCAATCTCACCACGATATCCTGGCGGCACGGCTTAGGGACTTTAGGTTCCCTTTCTTTCACATATGTACGTAATAGCTATATGGCACCTGGTTCCTCTGGTTACTGAATACAACACCCTAACAAAGAAAACGAGTGAGTATTAATGTTTTAGACGAGTGGCGGGGGTCGAGCGTCACCTGCACGAGTGTGTCGTCAAGCTGCTGCGCGGCGGCGATGAAGTCGCGGAGCGCGTGCGGCGGCGCGACGTCGAGCGTGGACACCACCACGAGCGCGTCGTATTGTGGACTGCTCAGCTCGTCCACAACGCCCACCGGCACCTCGTGCACTACCAGCTCCGCATCTGCTGCGCCCGAACCGCTCATGTTCGCCGACTGAATGTCACTCACACTCCCCTGCCAACATCATCACCTACTCGATAACAACGCCACAGGAGCCGCGGTGCGTCACATAAACAACAGTGACACCCAGTGACATTACATGTCTATTTTAAACATCTTATCATAACAATGACTGTACCTCTGTATTGGCTAAGTTATTTATACTCGAAAACATTGATAACACTTTTTTTTTTTTTTTTTTTATGGATGATGATGGAATTATAACTCCGCTTGCGCTACCGCAATATACGTTGGCGGGTACATACCCTATTAGGTCTTTATGTGGTCCTCTAAAATACATATTTTTTTTTTTTCGTCACTGACCTCATCTTCATCTGTCTACCATCACTGTAACATCTCCTTTTTGTGTCTATATCAAGATAGACAATTACGTCTACTTATTCCAATAAGTCAGTGCTTAAATTTACATTCAAAAACCTTTGTTTCTTTAATCAAATGAATTTGTATACAAAATATTCTGCACTAATTCTATGTGTATAATAAATGTTCAATCTATTATAAATACAACTGAATAATAAATACTCAAACCTCTAAACTGTAACATTTATAAAATCAGTGTATATACATACCTAAGAAATTACTAAAGAATAGCAACAATGTCACATGAAGGTCCTTCCTCACCCACTGCTGCGAGCGCTGTCTCGCGTTCATAAAGGTGTATTGGTTAACATGTGCCATAAATAATGTGCACAGCGTGGTGGAATGGTTCGCCGACATAGTTGATTAGATTAAGTAGGTACGCAAGATACAGTAGGTACACAAACATAAGTGGCATACAAACAGATAAGATTGTGTTCCGCAAAAATAAAAAGACTCCAAAAACTGTTATGATTTAAAAACTAAACCACTAAACCGATTTTGACGAGATTTCAATGGCACTAATCTGTAAGTACATTCTATCAGATAAAGAAAAATTTTCAAAATTGATCAATAACTGGCGAAGTTATGAGGTAACAAACATAATATATATATATATATATATATATATATATATATATATATATATATATATATATATATATATATATATATATATATATATATATATATATATATATTTTTTTTTTTTTTTTTCGAGTATGTTGAGAGAAACTGTAACCATTTATCTGATCGAGTGTATATGATAGTGTTGAGTTAACGATAATTACAACATGGTTCTAGTAAGTATTACAGTTTAAAGTATGACTAAAATTAAGTTCAAGTCAAATGTAAATATATGATATTCATTTTCTGCATCAGTTTGATAGTTCCTGAATCTGTTTTTTTTTTTATCTGTAAGGTTCTCTAGTTCCAAACCCAAATATTAATTTAGTGATTATCTTTATTAACACTGGGGTCAGCAGCACATCTATGAAGCAGTGAAATTACTATTAGTACTTCCTTAAGTTAATTACTTCCCTAAATAGAATTAGCCCATTTAGCTTCGCCATACCATATATGGAGTAGTAAACTAAAAAAAAAATTATTTAGACATATCCACTGAAATGTTTTGTTTACATTTGAGCATAAGATCAAGTTGAAGGTATAAGCCAACAAAAAATACACAAAATAAGATTTAATGTTATATTGATTATTATTATATGATTGGTATGAAACGTGGCCATATTTCATAACGATAAAGCCACCAGAGATAACAAACAAAAAAACAAAGTCACTTTCACATTTATGATATTGATATTAGTATTAACCGGAACTGCAATGTCCCCCCCCCCTGTCCTTTCCCACATAAGTCCCTTATTCCTTTCATTCACCAATTTTCTTTACACATTTCCAACGTTCCCTTCCTTTTTTCCTCAATCCTTTCCTTCATACCATAAGTGGCGGAAACCACCAACAAATGCATTCCCAAAGAGGGTTGACTTCAGGCATGTGGCCGGACGTAAAACTAAAAACCAAATCTTTTTGTAATATGGATAAAATCATATTACGCCGACCCCAAACGATTGGGACAAGGGTAGGAAGATGATGATGATGTTATATTGATTATTATTATGTTCTTAAGTGTACAGTTTTCTTAGTGAAAATATTTTACTTACATGGTGTCATCAAAAAGTGAAGAAATTATTAGTCCTTGGCTGTAGGTAAATAGCTAGTGTGGGAGGATGGGCAGTAATATGGAGGTTAGTCTCATTACTAATA